GTGAATGCTTTGAAGAAGTTTTCAAATATACTTCTCCCCCAACTCTCCAGAAGGACATAGAAGAGAAAAACACCCTATTTACTTAAAATGACTCACAAGAAAAGAAAGAAAACATTAAATGATTATATTGTGGATTCCCACTCCTGGCAACCTTGTACATGCAGAACAGAACTGACCCACAGGTTTCTAAAGCTTTCTTTTGTAAGCTGACTGCCAGGTCTCTCTTCCAAAGTCTCTAACCACCAACTTTTTGACCAGTAGTTCTATGCTTAATATATGTACCACCCACAGACTCCTAAATAAGCATAGTTTGTCAATGTTACTATGTGCCATGAACTGACTAATACCTGACTCTCCAGTGAGTGTTCAGCGGCAGTTAATTGCATAGGTGACTGCTCACCCAACTCCCAAGAGCAGCTGATGGTTTTGAACTGTGTGGCTTTGGAACTGTAGTGCATCTTTTTACCACTAAGCATAGTAGAGTTCTACAAAAACAATTGAGAAATTGACATGAAGTGAAAAAAATTAGAAAACAAAAATCATTCATCTCAACATTGCTATCAAGCTACCAATGGTCAAAAATATATTACTATTACTCAAGCTGTAATATTCAAGCTCAGAGACAGTATTAAATAATAAAATTTAGAATACTATTACAAAGTAATAATCTTTTAAAGTATTAACACGTTGCCACAAATGACGGGAAAAAAAATGCGTTTCTATGCACGGTCGTCAATTTAAGTGTGCGGCAACATGTTAGAAGATTTCATCATGGAAAAATGTTCACAAATAAGCACTACATGAAAAATGCACAAATTGGCAAAATCAATATTCTAACTATGCCAAGTATATGAACACTGTAACAAAATTTCTTAAGGCTTTATCTCTGGATAAGGCATTACCAGGAACTTGTTTGCTCTCCCCACTCTACTCTGGTGGCTTAGCGGTAAAGAGTTGTGCTGCCAACCTAAAGACTGATGGTTAGAATCCATGAGCTGTCTGCAAGGGAAAGATTTACTGCCTTTGAAAACCTGGTGTAGAGCCAGCTATGAGTTGGTTCTGACTTGATGGTATAGAACAACACAAATGTTAACTAATTATCAAGTTTTCTATAACAAGCCTTTCTTATTTTTATAATCAGGGAGTTCTGGTGGCCTAATAAATAAGGAGCTGTGATGCCAAACTGAAGTCACATGGTTCAAATGCACCAGCTGCTCCATGGGAGAAAAATGAGCACTCTCCTGGGGTATTTACTGCCTCTGAAAACCCACTGGAAGGTCAACTATGAGTTGGTTCCCACTCAATGGTACTTAACAATTACTTTCATAATTACAAAAAAGCCAATTCCTGATACATACATACAATTATTTACCTATTACCTCTATATTATACCCACTACCAACTCATAGTGTCCCCATAGGACAAAGCAGAACTGTCCTATAGGGTTTCCATGGCTATAATGTTGACTAAGGCAGACTACTATATCTCTCTCCTGCAGAACAGCAGTTAGCTTTAAATGCCTGACTTCTGTTAGCAGTCCAATGCTTAACTACCATGCCACCAAGCCCACTGTATCACAGACATATATAAATTACTCATACCTGAGAGTGAAGTCTAGCTTAGAATTCAGAGACTGGAAACAGAGCAAACTTACTCTTCTGTCTCCAACAAATTACTTATCCTCAAAACAGACAGACAGACACACACACACTCCTTTCAAATGGACCAACAAACATGATAAATATAGGAAAGACTGAGGCTGTCAAGGATTTAATTTTATTCAGATACATAATCAACACTCATAGAAGCAATAGTAAAGAACAGAAAGAAATATAGGCTGTCAAGAATTTCTTTAAAATGTTAAAGAGCAAGGATGTCACTTTAAAAACTAAGGTGTGTGATCCAAGCCCCTGGGTATCTTCAAATGTTTCATATACAGGTGAAAGCCGGACAATTCTAAATACTCCAGGGACTGTTAAAAGAATAAACTCTGTCTTGGAAGAAGTGTAGTCAGGGTGCTCTTTAAAAGCAAAGACAGTAACATTTTTGCATCCCCTACACATAACCATGAGGGAGAAATTGTGGAAAAAAGGACATCACACTTTGAAAGGTCATCAAGAGGAAGATTCTCCTCAAGGAGATGGACTGACATACCGACTGCAACAAATGTAGGGTCTGACTCTGTGGTATAGAGCAGCGAGATGGAGCTAACTCAACCGTACCTAATAACCACTACACATTCTCCCTTCACCTAGTCAAGAGAAACAATTTCCAGATCCTCTGATAATTCCATTATACTTCCATTGTATATATGAACTCCTGTGGGAATCAATGATCTAAGTAAATAGCTTTTATGAAAATTTCCAGGATATCCATATGAACAAGTTTAATGTAAAGATTTAATCAAGAATACTAGGCTAAGTCACACAAATATGCCACATAAGCACTACAGGGTTTATAATGGTAAGGCATGTCTTCAAGCTTTTAATTCTAATAAAACTTCATACACAAAAAAGCACTAAAGAAAACAGTATATTGCTTTAATAAAATGTTTCAAATGTTCTTTGAAAATAGTACAGCAATGAAAAGTACAAAGTATTCTACAAAAGCACAAAATGACTGATAAAGTACATTATAATGGATAACTAGGTATTATATAAAAAGAACCAATATTGCTTCAAATCAGTAAAATTAGCTTATTAAAATGAGAGTGCATCCTGATAATGTTTTTAACATAGATAAATCCTGGTCTAGTTTTAACTTGTATTTCTATTTCAGATGAAAAAAAACAAAAACATATACTGTAAAAACCCTAACTGTAAATAAATCTAATAGGCAGACTATCACTTGCATTTGGGTTAAAATTAGTATGCTATACTATAAAAATCAAGGCACTTAAAAAAAAATCTTATTTGAAAAGTAGAAGTAATTACTCACTAGAAAAGTTATGTCAGCTATGGGCATAGCTTCAAATTGGTGGAGGTGGGGGTGGGGCCCAAAACCTTCCTAAAGGTTAATACAGACTGTAGGTTGTGGCAGGGGAGGCCTGGGGAAGGTCGAATCTCAAGGTGAGACTGACTATGCTTCCCCAAAAATAAAGAACTAGTAAAACTCTTCACAAATGAGAACGTACTGAATATCTGAATAGAGCGGAGATCTGAACCAAGTATTCTTCAGTGACAAAACTGTGTCTGTTATCTGCCAGAGGTCAAAAAAGATTTGTTAAAAAGGGAAAAATGTGCCGAGAAATATTACCATAAGAATGGTACAAGAATCCCAAGAATTCACATAAATATAGAAACAAATACAATTACTGAAGCTACTGTCCCCTTCCTTTTTCAACAGCTTTTAACAATGTACTGGATTTCCCTAATTAATGATGAGTCACACCACCATATTTTATGTCTGTAAATTATGTCAGGATATACAAGTATTTAAATAAACACTTAAGCCAAGATACAAACATTTGATTTCAAAAATTTATACTGAGGTTTAAAAGTTGATAGGAAGGAAAAAAAGTTGATAGGCCTTAAAAAAAAAAAAAAGTTGACAGGCCTCAACTTCCCTAAAGGTTAACAAGATGAACTATTTTTACCCCCTCTGAGAACAATGCAAAATTACAAAAAATTATACAGCCTTTTCCAAAACCAACTTCTGACAGTTTAAAGAGCCAGTATGATGCTCTTGTCTACAAAAGTCCACAAAGTCAGAAGTAGTGAACACTGCAGGCACCAGGGGGCCTCCCAGGAATAACTTGGTAGTAAAGGAAAAAGGTAAGAGTTCCTGGTAAAACTTTGCTTCCTATTCAGCCCTGGAGGATTTCACATCTGGAGCAAATACACTCTATTTCGTTACAAAATGAGCGCGCACAGAACTGAGGATGTTTTAAATACCAACACGCTAGTTGAAAAAAACCCTCTTCAAATCATACAATCTTCTTTGGTGATTTTACAAACTTAAATACATAACTGCACTGTGATAAACAATTATCCTACAATAATTTGAAATTAAAAAAACAGTGAACGTATATAGAATCCTTTAGTTCTATCTGACAAAGACTGTTTTTAAGATTCAATTTTTTTTTCTCTTCGACACAGAAAGCGAAGAGGGATGACACATATTCTAGGCTAAAGAGATTGGTAGATGATTTCGATTAATTTTGAAAAATGTCATGCAATAAATCAACACGTTCAACTCCCAACATAAGAATGGGGGGAAAAAAAGTGTTCAATGCAAACTATCAGAGCCCAGGTACCGAAAATGCTGATCAGACTTGTTCATTCCTTTCAAACATGGGAAAAGCTTTACAATCAGAACATTAGGAACTTTGTTCAGAAATAAAATTATGCTTAAAACCTTAAATTCTCCAACTGAAAGCCAAGCCTTTTAGCAAACCTATCTACTTTTCGGTATGTGAGATTTCAATCCGATAAAAATTTTTTAAAAATTATTATTTTTTAAATAAGTACTAAATTATAAGTATTTCAGAGCCCACTAATGGGATCTCCTTGAAAGAGTTCGCGATCTACCATCACATAACAATGCTGAATGGCCTCAATCGTATTCAGTTTTTAAATAAAATCCACTCTCAATACAGTAATGAGGCAGCAAAGGCCAGGGGACGGCGCGTTCCACGGATACAATGCACAGCAGCACGCATCCTCCTTGGAAGGGTCACCGGAGGCGAGAACCCACACCTTCTCAAAGGTTGTTCCCCCGCAGATGGACACTCACACCCCCAGATCAGGGCGCCTCGGTCCCGAACCCTCCGGAGCCCGAGCGAGCGGCCCCGGGACCCCGCCACCCTCCAGCCCGCGTTCTCGGAGGCCCTCCCAGCGCCGCAAGCCTCCTCGCCCCCTCCTCCGCTCCTGCTCCCCACTGATCGGGGAAGGGGGGTTTAAAATGAGGATCCCCTCCGGGTTCAGGGACTTTAAGGGGAAGCGAAAGAATAAAGGCGGCCGCCTCCCTCCAGCCCTAGCCGGCCCGGGCTCTGCACTCACCCTCCAGCAATCGGGTGATGAGACTATCCACGTTCAGCTCCCCGTCCGCCATCTTGTCGGCACTCGATTCGGCTTCCCGGCAGCGGGAACAAGGGGTTCTGGGCGGCGGAGGCTGCGGCGACGGCTCGGCGTTCTCTCACCTACAAGTCACGCGGCGTTTCGACCCCGGTTCCAACTGTCCCCGGGTCCCGGGCCCTCCCCCCACCCCCTCCCCACAATGCAGTGAGAGCGCGCGCACACTCGGGAGGCTCCCGAACTAAATAAATAAATAAACAAGCGGGGCACCACACAGCCGGCCGCGTCAGACCCAGGCCACCACCTCCTCCTCGGCACCGCCCAACTCCGCAAAAGCTCACCAGCGCCGCCACGGCCCCGCCCGCAGAGCCGCACTACACGGCCCTTCCCCGCCACCGCGCCACGCAGCCCTTCGCGCAGGCGCGTGGCGCACTCCTTCCCGCCTCCCTTGGCGGGTTCAGCCTTTGCGCAATCGCACTGTGCTCAGTTCTCCCGCCCCTGTCACCGCCGCCGTCTAAGCGCAGGTGCGTCGCCCTTTCCCTTTACTTGCATTGCGCCGAATCCCCGCGGCGGCGCAGGCGCTGGTGAGGGTCTGGGCATTAGCTGCCTGCGTCGCGGAAGCTCCCATTACGCAGAGCCCGCGTAGTCCGGGTTACCCTTCCTCTTGGTCCTTTCAGTTCTCCTGTGCACTCTGCCGACGCAGTGCTCATGTCCGTTGCATGTCGCTTTTCTTTGCTTGGCTTCGTTCCCTGGTTTTGCAAGCAATTTCTCATCTCTCCGTTAAAACAAGAAATGGATACTACGTTTACTCTTGTAAGCCCGACACTTGGCGCGTATAGGAAGCCAGGAGCTCGAAAAGTTTAACATTGTACATAAGGAATTTTGGGCACAGCCATTCCACAATGGTACGTCCCCAGTGCCCCTGAAGGAAGTAAATGTTAAAGTGGTCCCTGAACCAGTCATCAGTAAAAAGATTTTAAATTAATATGTTAACTCTTTTTCACATAAGCCTTTTTCATTTCTTAACATCTGTATCTAATGCATGCTATTTTCCCCACAATACTTCTTTGCTCTATTAACTTGCTTAATCACCTTCTGTTGTACCTGTTTATGCATTTCTCTCGCACGCTCAACAGTAAGCTCCGTGATAGTAAAACCATTTATCTTTTGTGTTTGGCACATAGAAGGGAGGAAGAAGGAAAAATACGGAGGCACCAAATAAAACTGTAGAAAGGCAGATGGAAATGTAATCACACAAAGACAACCCAGGGGTTTTGACCTGCTCTAGGAAATGGCCTTAATTAGATGTATACTCATTCTTGAAATATTTTTCCGAAATTCATGCAGATGCTGCAGAATTCCTAATAGTATTCTCCCAGCCACATATCAATAGTTACAACTAACATGAATTGAAATCCCTGAATACCCTTGACACCTCTGTATACCTCTGACACAACGGTTAAGTGTTATACCCTTGTTACCTCGTTTAATCCTTTACGACTATATGAGGTAGCTATATTATTTTCATTTTGTAAATGACATTCTGAGACAGAATGGTTAAATATCTAGCCCCAAATCATGCAATAGGCGGCAGCGGTTGATTCAAGCCTAGGCATCTAGATATACAGCCTGCTCTTCTACTTGCTGTGTTGTGTTTATGTGAACTGTTATGTGTAAGCTGAGCTGCTTAAACATGCTTGTGTTATGCCATACATTTAGATGGGGAAAAAAATAATTTTTTGAAAAATATTGTCCGACCAAGTATTTTGTAATGATGAAGGTGACATACACAGCTAATGTTTGTTTCTTAATGCTTTTCTCCCCCAGGTACCCCAGCTATCTTTTTCTTTCAGGAAGAGAACTCATTTCCATCAGTTCGGCTTCCAGCCGATGGGAATTAATTATTCCTATCTAGTTTTGTTTGTGTTCTGTTGTACATAGGGTTTTCAGAGGCCTGCTTTTTCAGAAATGGATGGCCAAACCTTCTTCCTAGTCTGTCTTAATCTGAATGTTCAGATTTAGAGAAGTATTAGACAGACCAGCATATTTTTTTATTTTTTTTTGTAATTTTTATTTTTCCATCTAACATCAGCTACAATATCCCTAGT